GGAAGGCCAAAATGGAGAGAAAAAGATGCGTTTACAAGCAAAAACGGATTAGTGTGGACATGGTCTGAGATGCAGACAATCCAGACTTGGGTCTACAGTCAAGAGACATCTTATGGGAAGCACAGAAACAGTTCATGAGTGAAGGGATAAGATGGGTTAATTTCAATATAGGTGGTTTATTCTTGCTATAAAGCGAGAGTAAACCAGACCGTGCAGGAACTCGCAGCACTCTTACATTTCTCCATCTTAAAAGTTCGTGGACAAGACACAGTTGGCACAACTCATGAAAAACAAAGAAAGACAACTTTGGAAACCAAAAACACAAACTTAACACTTCAAGTCAAGATCCAGACCATCTGGAAAAGAACAGGAGGATGGCTAACTAAAGCCAGCCAGAATAAGTAGGCGATGAACTTATTAGATGGGGACCTCAAACAGAAAACCGGAAAAGGATGTGCTACTCAGAAGACTCATGTTTCTCATATCTCCACAGCAGCCTTCCATAGTTTATCTCAACACCGCTACAGAAACAGTAATAAAGATTAATAAATGAACACTATCTGAAGCAAAGCAAATTGGGAAAACTGTTAAAGAGGCCCTCTACAGTGCTAGAATTTCATTGTCCAACCTCAACATTAAAGAAAAGCCCATCACATCCCTGAGTAAAGGCCAAAACATCGACGTACTACCAGCTGACTGGAAAGGTGCATAATTCCTCAGTCCCAGCAACATTTATGAGGTCTTAAAGTGGGACGTTCTTGCTGTGGTAATTCTTCATTTTGGTCGTTTTATTTTGAAAAAATTCACCGGACGTTTCCGGCTTCGCTGTTGAAGTCACAGTGCGCAGCTGCGGTAGTTGCTTTGCAGTGGTGGTTGGTTTCTTTTGCTTTTGTAGCCGCTCATCTTGCGGCAGAGCCATGTGGAAGCGCCCCTGATGTTCGTCTGTTCGGCTTTGTAAAGAGTTTAAATCGCAGAAATCAAATTAAACTGTGACGATACGACGTCTGGCTTCAGTTCGACGCGGCTGAAGTTCGTCTTAGGAGCGGAATCAGAAATCATCGGACGAAGGTAAGATCGGGCTAACGCGTGCTACCGCCATTGTTTATAGGCAAGCGCGGACCAAGGCCTCGAGTAATTCCGAAAATAACTGCTCGCACGTATGCACCAAACTCAACAAGATCTGCTTTTTCTGTTTTACTTGTAGCCGATTAGCTTATTTGCGTGCATAAAGTTGGTGTTTAAAAGTGTGTTGTTGAACTGGAAGTGGCGTGGCCTTCCGTCTGTGAGACGCACACGGAGGTCAGCGCCGGTTTCCTGAACGGATACCCAGCGGTATTCGCTTAAAAACACGCGGGAGACAAACGATCGTATTGTATGAGACGCCGGTGAGTTACACAGATCGATCAGCGAGTTTAGTTTAATCCAACCGGATCGGAGGCCCTCGGGGCCTGGCCATTATCGGATATATAGATGTAGTGAACTTCAAAAAGCTACCGGTCCGGTTAATAAATGACGAGCGTCGTACCTGCGTGTAAAAGATGACCTTTGTAAAAGCATTGATGGATGAAGGTTATCTTTTAAGTACCTGATACAAAAGAAGACGAAACGAAACAATGAAACGCACATGAACAACCCAAGTCAGACACACAATCACCCCAACGGCTGTGTGAATATGATTTTTTTTAAGCGGTTTTTAACCCACCTCGGAATCAATAAAAGAAAGCCTTTATGTAGCCAGTATGCCAAATTTCTTATCTGTGCGTTTTTAAACGAGTAAGAGGCATTAATATACTGGGTGCTTTGTTTTGCAAAGCTTTAAAAGTTACAAAAAATGTAAAAGCGTTAACAGTTTGCATCATTTCCATCTTAAAAATAACACATCTTAACGAGTAGTAGTTGTAGATTGGAAACCAAGGCAATGATTCTTGGGATGGAAATATCTGGAGCAGTGATAAGAGCGTCTGTTTTGTTAGAATTTAACTTTAGGAAATTGGCGTTTAACCAGGTGTGGAGAGCTCCTAAGGTCAGCAAGAACAGGACAGATGCATGTCACTGGATATAGATGGCAAATAAAATTAGCAATTATCTGTCCAAGAGGTGTAGATCCTTCTGGGTCGCCACAGGATAAGGCAGCCTTTTTCTCCAAGAAATGGTGACAAGATAACTGTCTGCAGGACACCAATTGAACACACTTGATATTACCTACTTGTACA